CAGGACCAACAAGGGACTCATGAACAACTATCACTAAACACAAAAAACACAGCTGTGGATCATTCAGCTAATAGCACAGTGTTAAGAATCAAGTAAACTTTTGAAGGTGGTAATTTTTATCAATTCAACTATTATTTACTGTTGTGGACTATATGTAAACATCTTTTATGTGAAATATCTTATTCAGGTCAGTACTAAATAAACAATAACATGCCTTTTGTGTGATCCCTCTTATTTTTGTAAAATAATTCAAATTTAGCAGATTCTGTAAGGTGTATGTAAACTTTTGTCTTCAACTTTATATATGAGTCTGAATGCTCTCTGTGTGACTGATTGCTGGTCGCTGTCCAGTGCTGAAAACAGTACACCGTTTAGAATGCATTACGAGGGTTAGGTGTGTGTGTGTGTGTGTGTGTGTATGTGTGTGTGTGTGTGTGTGTGTGTGTGTGTGTGTGTGTGTCCTTGGAGCACAAAACCAGTCATAAGGGTACATTTTTTCATATTGAGATTTATACATCATCTGAATAAAGCTGAATAAAAAAAGCTTTCCATTGATGTATGGTTTGTTAGGATAGGACAATATTTGGCTGAGAATCCTAAAGATTTTTGGCATAAAGGAAAAATGGATAATTTGACTCATACAATGTATTGTTGGCTATTGCTACAAATATACCCCAGCGACTTAACACTGCTTTTGTGCTGCAGGGACACATATGAGAGTCTGCTCGCTCTCTGTGTAACTGTCTTCATTTGTACGTCGCTTTGGATGAAAGCGTCTGCTAAATGACTCAATGTAAATGTAACTGTTCGCTGTCCAGCGCTGAACTCACCGCTCTCCACAGCCGCTGCGTCTTCGGCGTCACCGACGTCGCCGTGACGATGGTGTGCGCCAGGGACACCAGCCCACCGAACAGCAGCGCGAGCAGCGTGCGCACCGGCAGCAGCGCGTACGCCACGAACGTCAGCAGCAGCAGCTGCCACACGCCGTGCTCCGGAGCCGCGGCGAACGGGCAGCACAGCAGCGAGAAGCTGAAGCAGAAGAGCAGACTCAGGTGCGCGATCTGCTGCAGCTGGCTCGCCCGCAGGTACTTGACGTTGATGACGATGAAGAGCGAGACGAATACGACGGAGTGCACCGGGTACGAGCCCTTGGCGACGGTGAGGCTGGCGCCGGACAGCAGCAGCTCCAGCAGGCTGAGGCTGGACGCCAGCAACGCGAGCACCGTCAGCGCCGTCAGCGTGCGCGTCTGCTCCAGCTTCAGGCTGTAGCTGCGGAAGAGCGACTCGAGCTCCTTGCAGTCGAACTCGTCCTCGCAGGCGATGACCCCCGGCGGGCAGTGGCTCCTCCTGCGCCGCGTCTTGATTTTCTGGAACGGCGTTTCGTCCATGGCGGGAGGGCCATTTACGCGCCGGACAGAGGCGTGGAGCTTCGCCGGGGTCCGGAGGGCATGTCCGGCGGGAGAGGTGGAGCTCAGGAGACGGAAGAGACGCGCTGCACGAGCGACTGGCCTCCAGCTCGCGTGGCTCAGACTGGATCACGCCTGCGCGCTGCGCGCTGCAATAATTCTGCTGATCTCTGAGGAGCGCGCGTCTGACGCGCTGGGCTTCAGCAAAACTGACGCGTGAAGAGTGTAAATCACTGCATGCCATTCAGAAACGATATGCATTAGGACGTGTTTGCACTAGGGATCATTCAGAATTACACCTACGTGATTTCAGTTGCATCGTTTTCCATCCTTGACGCAGTGACAATAAATCAAGATTTAAGATAGTTATTATTACATGTAAAGTGTAAGTAAAATAATTGTTTCTTTTGAAATTGAGATTTATACATCATCTGAAAGCTGAATAAATAAGCTTTCCATTGATGTATGGTTTGTTAGGATTCACAGGACAGCGCTGTTCCTTGGAGCTCACGGACTCTTGTGATTGACCAATCTCTCTCTCTCTCTCTCACACACACACACACACACACACACACACACACGTAAAGACTTCCACACATTTATATATTGGACATTACAGACAATAAACAACCATCATTCTATCAACCACCAATCTAACCAACTCTTTTAAGAGGCCCCGGAACAAACGTTAGTTGTGTATACCCACTGTTGAAGGCTGAGTGTTACAACATATTATGTAATGAAGATAGCTTGATGAATAAAAATGTCAGTGATTTTTCAGCGGTGATTTCTGTACTGGATGCTGGGATGAGTTTGAGAAGCGATAGAGACACAAACACCGCTAGTGTTCTCATATGTGCTATATATACTGCTCATGCTAAATTATATAGATGTTAAGAGTTATTTTTAATATATTCATATAAATCTGTTCAGTATTTTTGATGCTTTATGCTCCTAATGATTTTTACAGTGGAGGCAGATATTCATGAACCTGTCATCAACACACGACCACAAGTTTTAACACATCTGAACATCTCACATGCTTGCTTGTATGATTTTATCAGTGATATACAGTAGTATGCAAATCAAATGTCTAAATAGTTTTATATGAATTTTAATTTAAGTTTTAGTTATTTTAGGGCATCATGTTAAACTAAATAAAAATGAGAAATGTTGCGTTGGTAACTACCTGAACTAAAATGTGATTTTAAATATTTGATTTCATTTCAGTTAACATTTGTTTTATTTTAAGTATTTTTATTTTTAATTAATTCATCTATTTATTTTTGTTTGGTTGGTTTAGTTAACTATAATAACCCTGGTTTGAGGTTTTGTGTCCTCAGCTCTGTGTTTACTCTTGCTTTATTGGTAAACACACATTTTCATTTCATTTCAGTATTTGTCTTTATTAAGGTAATATGTTATGCCTGTCACTCCCCTTTGGACGTTTTGTTGTGTTTTCATCCCTCATGTGTTCATTGACCCTGTTTCTGTCTCTCTCTCATTAGTTAGTTCCTTTTGCCCATATTTGGTTCTGTTCCTGTTCTCGTTATGTCATTATTAGTTCACCCTCCTCGCCTGCCCCTCATCATGCTCCCCTTTATTAAGTCTAGTCTGTGCTTTCCTTGTTTGTCCAGTGCTAAGGTTGAATTGTGCGTGTGTGTCATGCCTACCTTCTGTGGATTCCTTCTGTGTGGATTATATTAAAGATTATTGAGTATTCATCTTCATCGTGCGTCTATCACGCCGCACCGGTGTGTTTTTAATCATGTAATTAATAGCAGGCATTTTTTTTTTAATGTAAAACATAAAAACACAAGACATATATAGAAGGTCTTCCTGAAATAGAAAGCTTCTTGATATAAAGAAGGTCCAATAAATGAGAAAAATCTTTGAACAAACACATAAAGCCGAGGCTAAGAATGGGAAAGCTCAACAGGTGAAATGCTGTCGTGAGAATGTGATTCTCAGTGTGGTTTGCTGGTGTTCTTGAGTTCATGTGCATGTGTTTCTGCTGCTTTATTTGAGAGTAATGTTTGCTATCCGCTGCAAACACTGACACACTGAAGAGCTTAAACAGGCTAAAAATAGCCTGAGCTTTACTGCTCTAAATCAACACATGTAAAAACACAAGCTTTTTACAGCACAACAAAAGAAATAACTAACAATAATGACAACAAAAAATTCACATCGTTATAGCACGGTTTCTCTCGTTTTCTAGTAAAATATACTCTTATCAAGTAGAATTGGTCTGAAGTCAAAAGCCTGAAGTAAACAGTGAGTGATGAGACAAACTTCTTTCTGAATACAGATCCAGAGTCATGCATCTGTAACTTACACTGCAAGAATAGATTAGTGTGACATGCATACTCAATAATAAGTGCAGATTGATAAATCAGCTGCTCAGAAGATCCTGAGCCGTTCTTTATGATCACACACAGACAGACACCGAAAAACCGCCTGAAGTATGAGATCCTACCTGCATCATGACACGAGATTTAATTTTCATCAATATTGCCCTTTGAAAACAGAAATCTTTGACAGAGGTAACATGATGAATCACGACACAATAGGATTTAAACTCATTTATTCTGATTGTCTTAATGTTTAATGCATATCAATCATATTAATACATGCACATTGAAGACACTAAATTAATACTAAACCAGAACCAGAACAAAAATCAGATTTGTTTTGTAAATCGCTCAAACCCATTTTTTATTTTATTTTATTTTATTTTTTGTGGTCTGAAAGATCAGGTTAAACAGTGAGTGTGAACAAAGGTCTTATTTCACATGAAGACTTTGAGATCTCCACACAAACAGAGTAAACAGCATCTGTGTGTCTGTGTCCCTGCATTAACCAACTCACTGAAACGCTGTTTAAACTTAGTTATTCTTCTTCTGAGACTCTTAACTCCTCCTAGAGCTTTAACTCTACATCCCCCAAACTCAGCCCAGATCTTCAGACTGATCTTAAGTTGCTATATCTTTTCTAACTGATCAGACTTACGGTTTTCATACAAATGAAGATTACAAATCATAAAAATCCCATAGACTTACATTGACATTAATAGGATGATACCAGCAATTTCATAGCAACACTCTAGCAACCATCCAAACCAACCTTGCAACCACTATAAGTACCCTAGCAACTGCATAGCAACCACCCCAAGCACCTTAGCAACTGCACAGGAACTCCCAAGCAACCACCCCAATTACCTTAACAACCTCATAGAAATTCCCTAGCAACCACCCTGAGTTCCCTATTAACCGCATAGCAACACCCTAGCAACTTTTCAAACTGAAAACCGTCAAACTTATGAAACTTTTTAGAACTTATTAACCCTTTAATTATAAAAGTGTTTAAACTACCAAATACATTTAATTGCACATACACTATATGGACAAAAGTATTGGGACACCTCCTTCTTTAGAACAGAAAAAGGCACTTCCAAAACTGTGGCAACAAAGATGGAAAGTTCTTCCACACTGACTCAATCAATCATTTCTTTTTGAAAACTGCTGCTATAAAATTAGAAGCACGCAATTCCCTGGAATATCATTATATGCTTAAACATTCAGATTTGCACTCGTGGAAATGACTAAAGTAGTCAAACCTGTTGATTAGAAGGGGGTGTTCCAGTACTTTTGGCAATATAGTGTATTTGAGAATATCAGATGTTTCATAATTTAGTGAGCACGTTTGTGAATATTTATAATAAAAAAGGAAAAACGAAATTAAAGCGATACATCTGTCATACAGCACTATTGTGGCTGCGTGTGTCACATGACAAGCATGACGCGTCACCATGGAAACAATAAGGCGATACGTTCTAAAATAACGGTCGCCTAAAAAAAACTCATGCTGGGGGCTCAGCTAGAATATTTTAAACTCACATGCGAAAGGGTTAACTTTACAAACACGCTCAGCTAGAATATTTTACTGAAAACTCACGTGTGAAAGGGTTAAAGCTTTCTGGTCTCAACAAACTTTTTTATCTAGTTCTGACATGTTATTTCACTGACAGAAGTTCAGCTGCAGTATTAATGTCATGAAGAGACTCTATAACATCTCACTGTTACTGATTTATCATGAAGCTCAAAGCATTATATGTAGAATCTCTCGTCAGTCTATTCTGATTCATCAACAGTTTCACTGATGATTTATAACCAACCCAAAACCCAGGATAGAGCGTCTGAGTGAATGTGGTCTGGACTGTGTGGATGAGGCTCATTGTGTCAGAGACGCTGTAGAAGGACAGAGTTCCTGCACTGTGATCCACAAACACTCCTATTCTGCTGCTGATGGACTTCACAGAGAGATCAGTCTCTATGTTATTGTGTCTGAATGAGTATCTGGAGGAAGAGCAGCACAAACTCCAGGACTGATCATTATGTCCAAACACACATTCATTACCTCCTCCCTTCCTGCTGATGCTCTTTAATATGATGTTCTGCATGATATGAGCTGATGATGGACTGGTTTCTGAGAGCAGATGAATCTGCAGGACTTTACCTCTGTCTGAGATCTTCTTGAGCTCCTCTTTGCAGAAATCCTCCAGTTTGTCTCTCAGCTGATGAACAGATTCTCTCAGAGCATCAGAAGAGACGAGAGAACTGAAGAGATCATCATTTACGTCTGTAGATTCAGGAGGTGCTGAGAGAGACTGGAAACTCTACAGAAAACAGAAATCAAAACTCATCCAATAACCTGCAGGAACATCAGATTTGTTGACTTCACTGATCTTTAGTAACTCCCCTCAATCCAGCACTTTCACAGCATCAGCTTCATTCTTCTCATATTCATTATATCACATTATAGCTACAGATTCTAGTATTTGACACTCTATGTGAACTTTCTAGGAAACAGTTTGGATGATAAAACATCTGCTAAGATCATAAATGTCCATCTAACAGCTCAAGCACATCAATGGAGTCTCATTGTAGAGTTGAGTAGATTTGCTCAGGAAAAGCAGCTCAAAGGCTACGATTAGATTGAGCATTATTGATAACTTTCGCTCAAGTCCACTCTGAGCCTGTTCTTGTAGATCTGTGTTACCTGCAGGAACTGGATGTGATCCTGTGTGTGCTCCAGCTGCTCCAGCTCAGCGTCTCTCCTCCTCAGATCATTGATCTCCTGCTCCAGTCGCTCCAGTCGTCCTTCAGCTCGACTCACTGCAGTCTTTTCCTGATCTCTGATGAGCCGTATCAGCTCAGAGCGGCTTCTCTCAATGGAGCGGATGAGACACTGAAGCACTGCTCAATCACCAGGATTTCACAATTCTGCAAAAGCAGAATTTAATGCAAAATCAAGCAAACATTATTTGCAGCAGCTTGTATTTTTGTCTTATGCAATTTTTCCACAACAAATGTTAACCTGAGAGGGAAAGCAATATTAGCAACTACAATTCCATAACTGAGAGTCCAAACGAATGAATGAATGCGTGTTGAATTACAGTGAACTGTGCTGTAAAGTGAGCAGGGATGATGATACAGGTTATGCAGGTGATTTACAGGGAGAGAAAATATGGACAGGAGAATAATATTTAATATTTCCAAGTAATCTCTCCCAATCATTTATTCACGAGCTACACGTCTATTGTCTTCTCAACCTGTTTGTGAAACGAGAGAGAGAGACGCGGCTGCGCAAGCGATCAAACATCTTGTTTGTATTTAATGAATGTTTCTAGACTGCAGCTTTAATGAAGACTATTATTAAACTACTATATGGAATACTGAATATAAATAGAAATGTATTGGGGCAAATATTTGCTAGTCCCCATCATACCTGATTTCACCAGTAGCCTAGATTAGATTTAAATAAGTGCATTATTTTACTGGATATGCACTTTTTATATATTTCTAGTGAATGCTGTTACTAATAAAACAGTTGGTAAATAGTACAAACATGAAATAATTTGACTGATTGCATAATGACTTATGAGTGTTTCTATGCTGGTGCACCCACTGATATAAAACACGGTTTCAGCAGTTATGTACAAAAGTATTTACAGGCTTACTGTCACTGACACTAATTACATAAATACATCATGATTATTGCTGGGTTTTCTCTGCAAAGCAACACAAATGCTGCAATTATCACCACAATTTTTGAGAATAGCAAATTCAGTCATTTTAGGTCTCAAAAATCAGGAAAAAAATCCCTGAAGTCCTGATGAGACTGATTTCTAATACACAGCCTCACTTCATGTTTGGGTCTTCATGATCAAATTCATCAATATGAATCAATTTGATCAAGTTTGAGGATCACCTGATCCAATCGTGATGACCGTTACTCAGAATTGGTACTGTAGAGTTCAGTGACTTCATGACGTAATGAATCAGAAGGAAAAATGAGGTAAAAAGCTGAAATGTTAGTGAGGTTTTGAACGGTTGGTGGCGCTAGCGGTGTTTGACAGCTAAATATATCTTCAGAAGAAAGAGCTGCTTGTCTAGCTTTTAAATCACCTGCACCTTGCACTTTTTTGCACTATGCATTTTATATTGGACAGGATAATAATATTTAATATTTCCAAGTAATCTCTCCCAATCATTTATTCACGAGCTACACGTCTATTGTCTTCTCAACCTGTTTGTGAAACGAGAGAGAGAGACGCGGCTGCGCAAGCGATCAAACATCTTGTTTGTATTTAATGAATGTTTCTAGACTGCAGCTTTAATGAAGACTATTATTAAACTACTATATGGAATACTGAATATAAATAGAAATGTATTGGGGCAAATATTTGCTAGTCCCCATCATACCTGATTTCACCAGTAGCCTAGATTAGATTTAAATAAGTGCATTATTTTACTGGATATGCACTTTTTATATATTTCTAGTGAATGCTGTTACTAATAAAACAGTTGGTAAATAGTACAAACATGAAATAATTTGACTGATTGCATAATGACTTATGAGTGTTTCTATGCTGGTGCACCCACTGATATAAAACACGGTTTCAGCAGTTATGTACAAAAGTATTTACAGGCTTACTGTCACTGACACTAATTACATAAATACATCATGATTATTGCTGGGTTTTCTCTGCAAAGCAACACAAATGCTGCAATTATCACCACAATTTTTGAGAATAGCAAATTCAGTCATTTTAGGTCTCAAAAATCAGGAAAAAAATCCCTGAAGTCCTGATGAGACTGATTTCTAATACACAGCCTCACTTCATGTTTGGGTCTTCATGATCAAATTCATCAATATGAATCAATTTGATCAAGTTTGAGGATCACCTGATCCAATCGTGATGACCGTTACTCAGAATTGGTACTGTAGAGTTCAGTGACTTCATGACGTAATGAATCAGAAGGAAAAATGAGGTAAAAAGCTGAAATGTTAGTGAGGTTTTGAACGGTTGGTGGCGCTAGCGGTGTTTGACAGCTAAATATATCTTCAGAAGAAAGAGCTGCTTGTCTAGCTTTTAAATCACCTGCACCTTGCACTTTTTTGCACTATGCATTTTATATATTATAATTTTTGCTAGACTTTTTTGGTCTGGATTGAATTTAGTGTGCGGTTAGCAACTTTTTAAAAAACGTTTAGAATAAAGAGCTCAAAAATGTGTTTTCCAAGAGATTTCCAGAGCTGAAAGCCATTTGTAAGCGCCGTCTCTTTCAGAAGAAGATGAGAGTCTGACTGATGATTATATAATAACACACTGATTAAATGTTTCTCTGTGAGTCTCTGTCACAGCAGGATCTGCTCAAGTCCACTCTGAGCCTGTTCTTGTAGATCTGTGTTACCTGCAGGAACTGGATGTGATCCTGTGTGTGCTCCAGCTGCTCCAGCTCAGCGTCTCTCCTCCTCAGATCATTGATCTCCTGCTCCAGTCGCTCCAGTCGTCCTTCAGCTCGACTCACTGCAGTCTTCTCTCTTCTCCTGATCAGCCGTATCAGCTCAAATCATCTGGATTCAGTCAGATTTACTGAACAGAAAGTGTTTAGTGTTTGTTGCTGTTCATTTCTGCTGTGGTGAGCAGTGTGAATGCTGTAAGCTGTTAATATGGTGCTGATATAAACACATATGAAACGAGTGTCAGCAATATTTCATCAGTGTCTAGTGTTAAATACCTGTTTCTCTGTCCTCTGTGCTGCAGCTGATACAGTGTCGTGGTTTTTATGTTCATCCATCGTACACAGCACACATATACATTTCTGATCAGTGCGACAGAAAACCTCAAGGAGCTTCTCATGTTTCTGGCAGATCATCTCCTGCAGTCGTCCAGTGGCTTCAATCACTTTGTGTGGCTTACGTGAATGAAATTCCTCATGACGCTCAAAATGAGTTTGACAGTAAGATTCCTGACACATCAGACAGGACTTGACGGCTTTTTATTTTCTTCCAGTACAGACGTCACACTGAACATCTCCAGCTCCAGCAGGAACCACACTTTGAAGTTTAGTCTTCTTCAGTTTCTCCAGCATTTCAGCAAACACCACGTTCTTAAATAAAGCAGGTCTTGGACTGAAGGTCTGTCTGCACTGAGGGCAGCTGTAGACTCTCTTCTCATCCTCCTGATCCCAGCAGTCTGTAATACAGCTCTTACAGTAACTGTGTCCACACTGGATGGTCACTGGATCCTTCAGGAGATCCAGACACACCGGACAGCTGAACTGCTCCACTGAAATACAGGCCTCTGCCATTTTACTACATCAGAATCAGAATGAGCTTTATTGCCAGGTATGTTTATACATACGAGGAATTTGTTTTCGTGACAGAAGCTTCCACAGTGTAACAGAATGACAGTGACA